AGTAAAAGTGTTTGGTGAAGAGATTCGACGGTCGGTTCCACCGGAAGACAACTGTGGATTCCTCTTGACCAGCTGTCGATTGGCTTTAATGGAACATTCTTGCTGACGCTGTTTCCGAGGCAATCCACTTTTTAGGGATTTGCCGATGAGTTTTCTTGACTCGTTAGCTTGAATTTTGTTGTCATGATGATACCTCGCTCTGAAGATGTCCGTCATATGACGCACGAAAGCTTAGCAACGTTTCACCGGAATCGAACGAGATTACGTCGTAAACAGTGTCAGCAAGAATGTTTCAGTAAAACCAATCGACAGCTGGTCAAAAGGAATTGGCCATCGTCTTCTGGTGGAACCGAACTTCGGATCTCTTCACGCAACACTTCCACTCGAAATGGAAATAAGCTCAACAATTATGAAACAAGAGATTCCTCGAAACCCAACTTTTCTTTCTACATATTAGTGAAACTTTCCTGTTTTCACGAAACAGCATGTCTCCAAATGCGTGGCTCACCTGGTTTCTTGCATTTGGCGTAGCCCTCGACGTTTCCGCTGTTGAGATTGGCGCATGCCTCGTTGTGCGTCTGCCTCGTCCGAGTCCCGGCCTCCTGTACCTCGGTCGGACTGGCCACAGCCGCCAGCTCCGTCTCCCTCGGCAACAGGCTGGTCTGGACTCTGCTCGTCCGCCGGCGTCCCGCCTCCAGAACGGCGCCCAGTCTTCCCGCCGTCGAGATCTTCCTGACGACCATAGACGCCATCGGCTGCGCATGCGGATCGTCCGAGCCGAAGCGATGTCCTGGACTCGGAGTTGCATCTCTCTCAGTCGAGGCGACGAGGCCCGGTGAAGTGGAGACGAAGGCGGCGGCGTTCGTCTGACCCGGGACGCTGTTGGCGGGACTGTTCTGCGTCTGTCCGGCGCGACTCGGACGAAAAGCTGTCACGCCTGGCCCAATCAGACCGCCCGTGGCCGGACTCGAGCCCAGGCCCTTGAAGGCGCCGGCAGCGGCGCCGACCTTCGGACGGACCGCCTCGACTGGCAGCACTCGGCGCCGCTGTTTCGGCAGTTTTGAGCGCGCTTGCGTGTGCGAGTAGAACATGGAGAAGTTGGACACGATGACGGGCACCGGCAGGGAGATGGTGAGCACACCCGTCACGGCACACATGGCGCCGACGACCATTCCTGCGGGGGGCAACGAGAAAGGACAACGGGCCAATCAGAGGAGATGGGAGATGGGGAGCGATCGTCTTCCGGCAGACAAGTCACCTCAGGTCGTCTGAGGCGATGGAAAGTTGGATATGGTTGATTTTGAGGCAAGTTGGTGTCAAAAGGGACAGTAATTCTTGGAGAAAAATTTCAAATTAAATCGTAGATATGAAGGTGAAGATGGACAACTTTGGCAACTTTATCGCAACGCCAGGAAGACGTTGTGGAAAGGTAACTAGACCTGCGTCTTCTGCCATGGCATAAGGGATTTGAAGAATCGGATCTTTCATTCGGTACATTACCAGAAGACTCACCAGCATCGTAGTCGGCATCGCTGTACCATAGTGACCATTGACTGTCCCTTTTGCCATCATTTCTTGACTCAGTTTTTGTACTATCTTCTCCTTTTGCAGAATCTCTTTCTCTCCACCACACTTAATAGCGCCAATTTACCCATTCACACAAGACTGTGCATTCCTCAGCTGTACCGGATGCCGTTTGCAGAGCTCAATTCACTCACTGACCTCATTTTCGCAACTTGGTCTTGTTGACCTTACCTTGTCCGAAGACCTCTGGCAGATTAGTTATCATAATTCCCAGCGTGAGACCGTGAACTTGGTAAATAGTCAGACGTTTCGCCGGCAGCGTAGTCGGCATCATCGGTGAGTCTTGCCATTTTCGGCATCACTTTCGGCTACAACTCGTCCAAGAAACAAGGGAAGTCAATCTCTTGAACATGCTTGCTCAATCCTCTTTCTGTCCTGGCCAATCTGTCTACAGCCTACCCTCTTATCACACTCCCGATCTGTCACAACTTCTGAGTTGTCTACATCCCATTCGTAAGTGACTAGGGTTTCGAGACTACCAGTAAATCAGTAGTATGAGATGTATTCACCCTATTTCGTGTAAGGTGATGAAGGACTGGTAGAAGAATTTTCCCACAATGACACGAGTTGAGCTGACGTTTCCATTCAATTTAACATATTTTTCGAATTAAGTATTCTTTTCGTGATTACCAGTAAATCAGTAGTATGAGATGTATTCACCCTATTTCGTGTAAAGTGATAAAGGACTGGTAGAAGAAGAATTTTCCCACAATGACACGAGTTGAGCTGACGTTTCCATTGAATTTCACACAGCCTTGCTTTCCCAAAAGTTGTTCTTATACAGGCCCCAGTGGACTGCAGTTTCGACCTCGCATTGGTCTTATCAACACCCTCAGCGGGATTCGACCCGCGACAGTGCA